CAGAGTCGTGTTAGGCAAGAAAATAAAGAAGTGCTACCTGGGTGTAGAGAGGAGGAAGACGCACTGCGTTGAGCTAGGATGGAAATCACCCCTGAGCTTTAGATCGTGAAAACTGTAGTTGGCTGTCTGATGTCCACCTGGCTTCCTACTCCGACGACGTTCCCACAGAGAACACTTGTTGCTCCATTTTTGCTGGTGTGAGAAAATTCAAACGCAGGTATGACCGCCAGAGAAGAACATCAGCAGACTTGCCGTGAATTGTCTGATCATTTTCCCCCTTGCAGGAGGGTCTTACAGCTTTTCCTTTTGATGTGTAAGGCTTGTACGTAGTAAACCTATTAACTCTTTGTTAACCATACTGATTGCAAAAAAGTTTCCCCCCAAATGGTTAGATAGTTATTCCCACACTTCCCTAATAATCCATCATCCCCGCTAATTTGAAATGGTCACCAAGGCATGGCAGCAGACTAGAGGTAGTGGGAACTGCATGTTCTTGGGAAACTGGTGAACACATCCCCAAGAAAAATGTTGAGATTTTGAGGGGGAAAGTAACCAAATAATTATCCAGTGTATGTACTATAAATATATGTACATGAATAAATATACAATAAAAGCTGAGAACACTCTGAGAATCAACTGAAGAAGAGTGGTAGCTTTGGCTTGGTATATAAAAAAAGTACTTCACAATTACAGCATGTGGTATTGGCACAGAAATGGATCAGTAGAACAGAAAAGGAAGTTCAGAAATAGACTTTAGGATATAATTTGTATGATTCAAATCACTAGGGGAAAAACTAACAATCAATGACTATTAACAGGACAACTGGCTAAACCATTTAGCAACAATTAAAAATATATATATTCCCCCAACCCCACTCCTTATACTTAAATAAATTTCAGATGTTAAGTATTTTATTTTTAACTGCTGCATTATATTTCTCACCTTGAGATTGGAAGTTCTGAGCATGGCACCAAAGGCAAAATACATAGGAAAAAGACTGATAAATTTGACTATACAAATTTAAAGTTTTTATGTGGCAATTTATAACACAAACAAGGTCAAGGGAAATGATAAACTACGAAAGTTTGTTTACAAAACACAGGGTGTCCCAAAATATATAAATATACACTTTGAATAATTATTAATTCCAATGAGCTAAATCTGAAAGAAAGAAACATCAATTGAGAGCTATCAGTTGTTGAAGTGTATATACATTTTTTGGGAGCCCCTGTATATGACAGCTAAGAGTGAAAATTACTATGATACAAAGGGCTTTTTCAAACCAATAAAAGACAAACATGCCAAGTACTGAGAAAAAAGAAAAGTCACCAAGACAGAATTACAAATGACCAATCCACATGAAATATAGTCAAGAAAATACAAATAAAACACTGAAACAGCATTTTCACCTACCAGATTAACGAAGATTCGAGAGATCAGTAATGCCTAGTGGTGTTGAAGCTTTCTGCAGGTGAGAGTATAAACTTCCTGTGAGATTCCTCTGACAATATGTAGTAAATATAAAATGTAAATAGTGGTTTTCATTACAACAATTTCCCTTCTAAGAAGTTAGCCTAAGTAATAATTGCATACAATTATGCAGACTTGTATCAGGATAATAAACATCTGGAAACATTCTAAGTGCCCAATAGAGTACTGATGAGATAAATTATGATTCAAACTTTTTAATGCAAGCATCATTAACATGGAGGATATGCTGATGAATGAAAGAAGCATATTACAAAACTACATGCATAGTTTGACCTCATTATGGGAAGAAGGAGAAAAAAGGAGGAAGAGGAGGAGGAGTGGGGCGAGGAGGAAGAGGAGGAGGAGGGGGGAAGGGGGAAGAGGAAGAAGCAGAAGGAGGAGGAAAAAGC